AAAGAGTCTATGCGTCTGAAAGAATGATCTAAAAATATTATAAGTAGTACATATTTTACAAGCATTTGTATTTTTCTAACAGAAGTGAGATAAATCCAGTACTGTTTCTTGTGAAACAAAACTACTTACTGCAGGAGACTCAACAAAACTTTCCTCTCCTGCTTACAAGGATGGATTGCACTCTTTTTATTTATTTATTTGTCAGATGGTGTGTTTAGATACAGATGTCAGCTGTTAGTGCAAGAGCAAAGTAGTGCATGGCACACGAATACTCACCTCCCTCACCCACTTAAGTTTATACATTTGAGTGTTCTGAAGATTTAGTATTATAGAAACACATTTTTTATATGCAGAGAAATTAGCTTGAGAAACGGTGTGTTTCAATGACATAAACAGTGTGTCCTAAATCCAGCTGGTTCTCCCAATTCCTTGGGTGGATTGGCTTGTGAAAATGAGGAACTAATGCCAGTAATGATCAGGTGTTTGGTGTGCAGATAAGGTGCAAACTTCTCCAGCTGGAAGACTGTCTTCCAAAACTCTGTAATTTTAGTGGTGCTTTCACATGGGCCCTTGCAAGCTTCATAGTCAGAACTTGTCTTTTATGGCTCAGGACCCTTTCTTCTTTCAGTCCAAGAGAAGTTTTCTGATTTATGATGCCCCATTACTTTGAATATTCAAGATGCCCTGGAAGAGATTTTTATGCATTTAAGACTGTGATAACTAGGAGTTCCTGGTACACTGAAAAGTCTGTATGGCAGGCTACCTAAAATTTGCTTGCTAAAATGCTGGATATGACCCCCAACACCATCGATAAAATAATCCTGCTGCTGGGCTGCCTCTCTGGGATGTGTGGATCTACTGGTCCTTTCACATTACCTGAAACCATATCACATTACCCAGAACAATGCCAGGGATAGCTTTATAAGGGAAACCTCGGCTTGAGCTGCCAAAAATCTCTCTTGCTGTTTTGATTTTCTAGTTCTGGCTATTGAGCTGCTCGCGGCCTGCCAGGGCATCGAATTCCTACGCCCTCTGAGGACGACAACCCCATTGGAGAAGGTCTACGACCTTGTGCGCTCTGTTGTGAGGTAAGATCAGATAAACACCTCCCCAGAGGTTACCCGGCCAGTGGTGGTGGTTAATGTTTGGCCAATGTCCGCAATGTGTCTCGTTATAGGCCTTGGATGAAGGATCGCTTCATGGCCCCAGATATTGAAGCAGCTCACAGGCTGCTCGTGGAGCAGAGGGTGAGTGTTGACTTCCAGCACGTGCCATAGGACTGTCCTGAGGAGCACGCTGCAGCTCTGCTCTGGAAATGCCCTCCATGCATTCATGGGCTGGCCTCAATAAAAGTGCTCCTCCGCCTGGGGTGAACCCAACAGATTTTCTGAGATTTGGTTTTCCTTAGTTTTAATGGGATAGATTTAGAAATCCATTCCTAAAGTTGCCCTGTGAAATAAACAGCTTACATTATTAGTGCTGGTAGAGGTTTCACAGACACAGGTCCAGCTTTGAACCATTTGAGGGAAGGGTCCTCTGTGCCTGCAGATCTCCAGAGAAATCAGCGATCTCTCCAGGTGGTGATCTTCTTTCCTGGGGCAGTGAGTAATCCCCAGCCCTGAGGGGATCACTCCAAGGGCTTCACCTTGGGCATGGTGAACCACTGGAAGCAATAAGGAGATGTGCATGAGGGAACAGCAGTGGTGAAATGTGTTAACCTAGGCCAAGTGTTTGTACAGCTATGTGATGTATCTATTTTATTTGTTTGCAAAATATAAGTAACAAAAGAACTGGGGAGAGTAAGCAAATGGGAGAAGAAAATCCCCGTCCATCTTCTGTAAGGCTGTTTGCTTTGCAGCCCTTACAGAAGGAGAAACAAAGGAGACTAAAGAACATTTTCCTTTTCTGCCTTAAATCCCAGCTGCTGTCCCTTCCCTTTTTCTTTGTCCATGCCAGCTGCCATTTTGCTTCCCCATCCTCTTCATAACAAAGTGATTTTTTAGCAAGTGACAGCAATCCTCTCCCAGCCGTTGCACACAGAGCATTAACCTGGTAACAAGACAAGACACAATGTTTTTGTCTTCAATTCTTTCACCTTTTCCCCCTGGAGCTGTATATTTTCCAGTCTTCTGTCAACTCCATCCACATGCTTATTCCTGAACCTCACTCTTGCTGCCTCTTTGGTTCTTCTGACTGCATGCGGCTTATCTATGTAGGTCTGTAATTCTCACCTCCATCCCAGTAACTCTTCCATGGCGTTTCCTTAACTTGTGCATTGATTTCTGACTGCACCTTTTGTCTTACTTCTGACTCTCCTGTTTCGCTTTCTCGTTTCACAGGTGTGGGAAGTGGCTAAACCTTACATCGAAAAGTACAGGAGGGAACACATCCCTGAATCAAGACCCATCTCACCAACAGCCTTCTCCCTGGGATTGCTGGAAATGAATAAAGCTGTTGGTCATGACCATGGGCATCAGCATGAACTTTAAGAGTTGCTGTTCTCTGGTCCAGAGCAGATCCTTTCCAGGACCTTGCCTAAGAGTGGCCGTTCTACCAGAAATCAATGTGGTTTCTCCAAGTGACCCAAAGGACCTGACTGACTGTGTCGGGAGCACCTACGGATAGTAAAGTGGCTCACTACCTTTTGCCTCAGAAAGACAACTTTGTCATGATAGTCTGATTTTGGCTGAATTTCCCAAGCTTCCCAACACAAAACATTAAGACTCCTGCTGA